ATACTAAACAAAACAATTGAAAGATAAAATAATAATAATAATAATAACAAAAGAAAAAAAATAAAATAAAAAAAGGTTGTAAGCCTCGGAAACCCACGGCTGACAACCACATTAAATAAAGCAAGGCCTGCTCTCTACCACAGCAGGCCTTGCTTTATTTAAAAGCTTTGCCTTGCATGAAAATCTCATACAAGGCAAAGCTTATAACCTTCTCATGCGCACGGCGCGCAGGAGAATGGGATTGCGAGAATTAATTAGGATATTTTTGGATGCTTTCTAAAGTGGGAAGTTGTGAAACAATGAATGGAAGGACGGTGGAACAAACTTCAAAGACCAAGGCAAACTTGTCCCACATGCAGGTTCATGTCATCGGTGTACATATTGAGGTGATTGATAGGATTGGTGGTCTCATCACACTCCTTTATTGAAGGATACTTAAACATGTCCAATAGTGTAAGGCAAGATCCAAGGTCACGGACTAGGAACCTGCAACCAATCGTGAGCAGCAGGCCTTTTAGGCCTCGTTCCGAGGTCGTGGATAGGGGCTCGATGACCGCAACCAAATAGCTATCAGGCTAGTTGGTAGTTCAGGTTTTGGCTGAAAATGGTGTCTTCTCACCATTCATTTTGTCCATTCATTCAAAGGGCGTTTCCATCTATATATATTGATGATTGTCGGATGGAAAACGTAAGATTTAACATCTGTAAACAATTGCATACACTTCCAATCATCCAAAATAATTCAGAAATATTCAAAAGTTTCCTTAGTTCTTAAAGGTTCTTCATTGTTGCTTGGTGATTAACCTTCAATGTTTGATTAATCTCGGAGCTATTTTTTGTTGTATCCCGTAAGCAATCTCAAGGACGAGAGGGGGAAAATTATCGATTTAGGACAGCATTTTCTATGTGTTCAAGCCTATGATTCCAGGTTTATTCTTTCCTTTTTGTGAATTTGTTGGATCTCCATCTTCTACATTTCATGTATTTGATTCTTCTCTTATTTTGATAATATATTTGGAGGCTATGCCTTTCGTGAATTTCCAACAAAAACTTTAAAGTGCTAGCATAATAAGAAGAGATGAAAATTATTGTAGACAATAGAAATGCTAGGGAGAAGAACATGTTTTTACCTTTTGAACTTCCATTTCCTTGTGTGGGATTAGAACTTCCATTTCCTTGTGTAGGATTAAGACTTTCATTTCCTTGTGTGGGATTAAGACTTCCATTTCCATGTGTAGGATTAAGACTTCCATTTCCTTGTGTAGGATTAAGGAA